TTTGCTTCATTTTACAAATAACTGTCTACGTGAAGTTGTCTGTAATTTAAATATTTAAATTTGAGTCACATTTTACATATTCTAGGAAACTGACAAAGGAATCTCACAGAGAATTGTTTTATAAAGTTAGATAATTGCTTGCCTAACTCTCCTCCCCATTCATTCTTCCTGTGTGTGTGTGTGTGTGTGTGTGTGTTTGGAGGAGCATGTTAAGGGATAGATCTAGTTTGGCTTAAAATCCAGGTGTGGCTAAAACTCAGCCTTAAATCCAAAACAGAGAGCTTAGGTACCCAATATTCTATAGAATTTACTTCCTTTAGAGCAGTGGTTCTCAACCTTCCTGACCCCAAAGTAGCAACGAAAATAATTTTATGGTGGGGGGTCACCACAACATGAGGAACTGTATTAAAGGGTTGTGGCATTAGGAAGGTGGAGAATCACTGCTCTAGAGGTTGTTAGGATAATTATGCAGATCTACCAGATGAAGCTAAAACATTGGGCAACCTCAAGACTGCATTTGAAAGACTGAGAGGTAAGCATATAACCATTTCATTGCCGATGGTGGGTCACGTTTTACACTTCAGTGCCCTTTTATCTGAAGTAATATAAAATTCAAGATCTAGGCTCTTGGGGCTTTCTGGTTTGTGTGGTTAAATGAAACTTTCCTTGACTTTGGGTATACTTATTCCTTTGTGGTATTAGACCTAGTATGGTGAAGGCACAAATCTATGTTTTGTATTTTTCTTCACTCTCCCAGTACTTTATTTAGTAACTACCTACCATGTATGGCAGTGTTTTTCAACCTTTTTTTTTTTTTTATCTCACAGCACACAGGAACCTATAGTTAAACTTCCACAGCACACTTTTGATCACATATATTGAACAACAGAAGAGTAAGAACGAGAATATACTTACTGTGCTTTGAACTTCTTTTGAAAATAATTTAATAAATGATCTTTAAAAATTTTCACAGCACACCCAAGATCCTTCTAGGGCACACCGGTGTCTCACAGCACACTGGTTGAAAATCACTGATGTATGGGGTAATGTTCAAGGCCCTATAGATGTTGTATTTCAGGTTTGTTTAGTCTTTTCTTTTTCTGGGTCACTTTGAGTCTTTATAGCTGGGCTTCTAATAATAATAATCCACTTCGTCTGTATAGTGCTTTACAGCTTACAGAGCACTTTTACAAAAATGATCTCATGTGATCCTCTCACATAAAGCTCAGTTAAGCACTACGGTGTGGGAAGCATCATAGCTGAGCCTGGACCCTGAATATAGATTAACCTGGGTACCCATTTTGCAGTTGAGGGCGCAGAGCCTCTGAGGGGTTGGATAACTGTACTAAGTCATAAAGTTTTTAGGTAGTAAGCAAGTGTTCCTTTTACAGGTTTTTGATCTATCTAAGAAATACCATGTTATATATGTATCTAAAGCATCTTTCTCAGACTCACAAAAAGCTTACAACCCAATTATATTCTGGTTCCCCCAGAGGAAGTGAGGATGAGAATCTCTCAGTTCACTGTGAATTGTTAGTAATTAGCTAATACCAAGTATTTAACTTGTTCACAATTGATTCCTGTGGGGAAGAGGAAATTACCATCCTAACATGGAGAGTGGGGGAAAGCTTAGACTAAGGACAGATTCCATTTTGGTTTATTATGTAAAGTCCTCAGAATTATGGTACCTGATTATTGCTGTCGTCCAGAGGATAACTCTCACCCCATCCTCATTCACCCATCCATCTTTGCTACACACATACTGTTCAGCATATTTTAACTTTTAAAAGTAGATAATTAGAATGTTTTATATGCTTTCTAAAAGGAATGACAGCAGAGTCTACCTTAATATCCTTTTTTACCACATGCGACTCCTAGTTGGGAAAATAGTAATTCATGATATTTATATGGAAGATTCCAGAGCTCTAACTTACAGAATGTGGGCTCTGATTAGGGAAACTGAATTTCTCTATTTGTTTCCTTTAATTAAATAATTTTAAATTTGCATGTGTTAACAATCTTTGTATGACAATCTATGTATTGACTCTGTTTAATATACTGATGTAGATGTGAAGGGAGGTTCAAATAAGAGCTTGGATAGTTGAAATCTTGAAACCCCTAGAATGTTTTCTCAAAATCGTTCATGTTAGAATCAGCTGGTGTGCTTGTTAAAAATTCAGTTATCCATCTTGTGCCACACACTTGTGCACTTTCCATTGACAACCTAGCTGGGTGATTTTTCCATGTACAGAGTGTTGGTCTTATACAGAGTGTTGGTCTTATCTGGTTGTGCCAATTAATTCTACTAGAAGCTTACTTTCTTAAAGTCCAGATATCTCATCTGTTTCTGAATTCAACTTTTCTTTATGTTTACTAGTTTTTTTATGCTTCTGTTGAAGAAAAAAATTATGAGAATTACTATTCCTTATGATCACTATTTTCATGGGAAGAAAATAGGCTAAAATGTGTAGTTAATGAGCTAAATAAAGGTAAATTAAATGTAAGTGATTTAGACACTTTAGAGAGGATGGTAGATCCCTAGAGATTTTGGATTTTTGCATTGCTTCTATTATAAAATTGAAACAGCTCACAATCCAACTTAGTAGTAAATATAATTTAGAAGAACGTTTGGGTTAGACTAAGAGATGACTTATTTTACAATAAATATCTGACATTAATGAGGGAAGGTGCTGATCAATTTTTTTATAATTTTATCTTTTAGGGAAAAGATAATCCCCCTATTCATCATTTTTCCTGACTGATAATTTGTGCTCATCTCTCAGACCTACCAGAACAGTGGTTCTCAAACATTACCATACACAAGAAATATCTGAGATACTTTTTCAAGTGCAGATTTCTGGGTCTTATCCCTAGAACTTCTGAATCAGTAAGTCAGAGGTAGAGCCTGGGAATCTTCATTTTTACAATCATACCTTCTCCCCCAAGTGATTACTGATACACTTTGAGAAACACATTACTGTTCTGTAATTTCCTTGTAGGTGAGAGAATTGTGGAAAATTGGAAGGGACAAGGACCAGTGCTTTCATATTGATAAGAC